TCAAACGTGCCGATCGTGCGGGCTTATCAACCGCCTCATCATCTACATGCAGAAAGATGGAGAGCAAGTTCGGAAGATGCGCATTGATCATGTGGTCGGCGACACTCCGGCCAAGCTGAAGCTGCTTCGTCCCAAGCTTGTGGACAAGCGTCAATCAGAGGATAAAGGTCCTGTCTCGGACAAGAGGCAGAAAGAAGACAATGCCAATGCCCGTCAGCACTGGGATGACAACTCGTGGTGGCGCTCTACGGACTGGCACTCTTCATCCAGCTCGTGGCGATGGAACAGGTAGTCTCCCTTAGCTAGTTCCGCGGGGCCTTGGGCCGTCTTCTGCAAACCCGGTGGCTCGGCCAACTCTTTTAGCCGCTGTGGACAGCCTTCTTCCTCTGCACATGGTCAGCACTGCATCACTGGAAAAGCGTTGGCCATTTGCACATGCAATGCCAGTTAGCCAGTGCGCTGCATCAGGTCGTCCCTCGACCATACGCCACTGTCACAGGTACGCAGTCACATGTGAGCGGCCAGTAGCTGTACATAGCGACCGAGGCTTTGTACCGAAATCTGAGTGGCTTAGAAGTTCATGTCTGCGTCTTGTCTCGCTGTCTTGCTTTGCTTCACTGTCTGTACGTCCTAGCTTAAAGAGTGCCGGAGCGGCAATGCCCGCGATGTGCAGAGTACGCTCGCACTGCGTCCAATTGCAAATTGCTGTTGCTGTTGCTGTTGCTGCTGCTGCTGCTGCTGTTGTTGTTGTTGCTGCTGCAGCCGCCACGGACCAGACGGCCGCGCAGTTAGGATTATGACGCCAACATCGGCCAGGAGCTAGTCAGACGAATATGCTAAGTTATATGGCCGTTGGCACTCTTCAACTTGCATCTGTAACTGTGAGTAAAAGAGTTCATTTCGACGATTTGATGAGCAGGTGGCATAGAGGGAAAATGTGTAGCCAAGGCATGATATGCGCACAGCTGGGATGCACAGAGTTACACAGTCGCACACTGTTGTAACATACATCGTTGTGGTACATGATGCTCTTTCACTTGTGTCGTCATGGATGCATCGGAGTTCAATGCCGGCTGGTTGGGCTTGGGCAGGAGACTGGTTAGGGCAGGGAGGGAAGCGGAAAAGGCTGAGGGTTTTGGAGAGGGGAGGCGTCATATTTTTCCATATGTTTTCCATATTTTCCATATTTTTTAGTATGGAAAAATATGGAGAATATTGAGAAATCCGTCCAAAATGCCTGCCCCCGACCTGAAGAAAGGGCTTCCGGGAGCAGCCGTCAGGCCTTAGGGTCGGGCCTGCTGTTTTCGGGTGGAGGGCTTCGGATCTAGGCCTAGCACCCCCCATCCCAAGTCAGTTGCGGCATCGCGGTGGTTTAAGAACCGTTCTCTTACAGCAGCTTCCTCCTTATGACTTCAGGCGATCTGTTACATTATCTTTGGGTGCCTTGCAAAGCACAAACGGAGTTGAGATCGTGCAGTTGCTGGTCTGCCGAAGTTTTCCATAAGCCATTGTTGCACCGAGGCGAGCATGAAGCCAAAACGTATTGATGAGAATAATCACCAAATCCAGGCAGAATTCAAGCATTTTCCACAATTTCCAAAATTTTCCGTTTCATAGTTATTCCATATTTCTTCTTTAAAAAATAAACCCAGGAATTAGGATCCTAGCTGGGATCACCGCATCTTAAAGTTAGGACTCCTTTTGCTAGGAGTCTCAATCGGACCCCAGGGCAATGTACGGGATTGTGCCCCTTCTCGTGCCATGTGCCTCCGTGCTTACTGAACGACAGGTCCCAAATCCTGGACCCAGTCACTGTCTAAGGCATTGATTACTGGGCAGGCGGTAGGGTTTCCACCTTCCGCGTGGAGGAAGTCACCTAGCTTGCTTCGTGACGAAGACAGCGGACGGCAATGCTGCCAGTGCACTCACAAAACTATTCTCAGATTAGGAAGAAGTCTTCTAAGCACGCATCCATGACGGCTGTCACAAAGCAACAGCCGGTGGCATACCGAGGTCAGGTCCTCACTCCCACAGGTTCGACGGGCAACTGCCCCTTCCAGGCACCGGGCGTTCCGGTCACTCGCCTGACAAGGTCTCGAGAAGGCCGTGCACTATCACTCGTTCTTGTTCAGTCCCTGCCGCGCAAACTCCACGCGGCCGCGGGTGGCTGCGGAATCAGATATCAAGCAGGTACGTGAAGGCTGGTTATGTATTTTTCCTCTCCAAGCAGTGAAACCGGCCTACCTTAAGGGTAGGTGCTGGCCCGAAACTTACGCATAGTTTCCCTGCACCATCGGGTGCCTGTGCGTGGGAAGGCCGCACCTTACAATAGGTGGGCATGGCCCGCCCCAGGTCAAGGCCAAACATGCTATAGGCATGTGCAGGCCTGCTCGCAACAACTTTGGCTAAGAGATCAAACCTGACACTGAGCCAGTCAAAAGCCCAGACCACAAGCGTGGCCGGCTCGGTGGCTCGCCCACGCATGGCTTTCCCCGGACTCTTCAGGTGCAGCTGCGAACGCACCCTTTGAGCCGCACAGTGCAGTGTTCACCCTAAGACCCTTTGGGTTTAGGTCCTCTTCCCGCTCTTCCCTGTTCGGTTTAGCGACCTGTTGTTCGCTCCTTTGGGCTGGCCTTGGCGATGCTAGGCCTCTGACCTTGGTTGACCAAAGCCCCATCTGCGTACACAGCCTGTGCACCTTCTCCCGCCTGCAAGTCTCTGGCTCAGACCGTGGTCGTGCTGTGTGGAGGTCCCCTAAACCTCTCACGTGCTCGTCGGTCTTCGGATACGGAGCAGCTGCAGTGGGCACTGCCGCTCGGTGGAGATGGGGAGGGAGCCTCATGTGTTTGCCGGCTCTAAGCAGTACGAGGCAGCACAGCGTGGATCGGTCACCAAAAACCGTAATTTCGCACACCACATAGCTTAGTCATGTTTTGATCTTCGGGTCGGTTTCACACCTAGTGAGTGCTTGGTGCGGTAATATGCCGCCCGCCATGCGTGGAGCCCGCTCGCGCAGCGTTCAATTGAAATTGTTGTTGTTCTGCTGCTGCTGCTGCTGCTGATGTAGATGGTGATGATAACGACGTCAAAGGGCCAAATAACAAAGATGAAAATAATCAATGAACTGTCTAACTGTGTGGTTGAGGCGGCTGCACCTGGCAATGTGGACCTCTGTGCTGCGTGCGCCGATGTCCTTCTTCCAAGACACCCCTCAGGCGCCGCAGAGACGGTTCTCCGGAATATGGGAACTTGGCAGGTTGGTCAGAAGACTTTCTGAAGCCCCATTGTGGTATCGTAAGCTTTACGCCACGCACTATTGGTGCCAGCGAGCACCAGCACTGGCCAGAAAGAGCCGGCAAGCAACCGTAAAAAGAATGACGAGCTGATCAGCTCCTCCCTGTGTGAATCCGTGCCCGCGCCCGGCCATAAGGCTTGGTTCTTCGGGTCACTTTGACTGGAACATCGTGTTGAATATGGGAAACAGAACAACCGACCTCTTCGTGCAGGGCCGGATTATCAACCGCTTCTCAAAGGACATGTCTGAAATTGACAAGGCGGGGTGTTGCTTCGGGACTGCGGGTGCGCCTTGTGAGCGTTGCAGACGAAGTCTGCTTTGTAAGTTAAAGTGCCGGAATTGCGATGCCAGCAGTTCTCACCGGGACTTCCTACTGGGAGTCGTTCGGGCAGGAGGTGATTTGGAACATCATCAACACCTTCGTGCCCGTGTTAGGGGTCGTTGGCAACTTTGCCATGGCCACATTGCTGCAGTTGGTGTCCAGTTTGGGGGTCTAGGGCTGCAATTGGTGGTCTAGGGTGAGGATTTGTCAGTTTCGCGTGGGTGTTGAGGGCCGGAGCGATGATGTCGGAATCGGAGCCTCAGCGGCTTGTAGGAACTACGAAGCGGCACATGCAACATAATCACTGGAGTACTGGTAGTACCCGGGCACAGCATACCAGAGGCACCTCTTTTCACAGGAGCTTTCGGTTCGGATGCGGGATCCGGGAAGCGAAGCACACACTGCAGAGAGTGCCTCTTCCCGGCATGGCAAGACAGGTTGCTGGTATTGCCTACTATGCAGTCCTCGCCTTCCTGCCAGCCTTCTACTTCTACCACAAGCTGTGGAAGCAGCTGAGCTCATCATTTCCGTTCTATACGGTGGATGAGTTTGTAAGACGCAGACCACTCCCCAACAACCCATGATTTTTCATATTGTCGAAGAAGAACGTGCACCAACAGGACTGCGCGAATGATATAAATGCTGCATGACCAATCCGCTGACATCAACATTGAGATTCACGGGTTTGGATAGAAGATGTCGGGTTGACTCAAAGTCGAGCACGCTGTATGTCTCAGTACACTGCTAGCATCGAGCTTACAGAACAACGGGTGGAGCTGGGTTGGAGGAGGTTGTTATTTTGAGTCAATCCTGCAGGTATTACAACAGGGCCGTCCTCGACGTGAAGCGCATCTCCAAAGTCCAGGGCAGCCACGTGCCTTACTGAAGCAGCAGTCGGGTTTAGGATGTATCCGTGCGGAGTCGATGTTCCAGTGGACCGTGCAGATGCGAATCTAAAGTGAAAGCCTGAAGTCCAAACCCTATGTGGAGGCCTTGAATGCGCAAAGACGGTCGTTGCCCGGTCGTTGCCGTTGCATGTGCATCACGGTCCCAGCCGTCTGACGGAAAGCCAGCGACCGCCAGCCAATTCCCCGGCTGGGTGAAATCATGCTAATGCTACTGCCGCGTCTGCAACCGCTACGACAGCTACTACAACATAGTACAACTGATTACAACTGCTATGACTACAACTATTGCACATACTACGACTGCCACCAAACATGATGACGGCTGAGCCTGGCACCTTGCCCTTGCTGTTTCTACCCCCTTGCCGCTGTTTCTGCGAAGGCTGGTAGGGGTGGCAGTGGTTTTAGTCTGGTGGAGTGGCGGCAGTCGTGATAGTGGTGGTAGTAGTGGTGCTGGTGGCACTCGTGCTCGTAGTATGTCGTAGTGGTCGTGGTTGAAGCGGTGCTCCTGGTGGCTGTGGCGATAACGGTGGTAGTTGTGGTTGGGCAGGTTGATGATCAGCATATTCATGAAGCTTCATTTCAACGATCATTCTTCTGCACGTGTTGTGACAGAGCTCGGTATAATCGTCGGCATCAGAGCCATCGTCATCATCATCGTCATCGTCACCACTCAGGCGCAGCACCATATCATGGCGCCGATCTAAGCCCACTACATCCCGGGGCCACATGCGGTGTTGTATCCCCATGAAGGTGCCCAGCCCTCATCTGGATCAGCCAAGAAACTGCACAAATCATGAACGATAGCCTGGATTCCGGAAGGGGCCTAAAGTTGCGACAAATTCAGAATCTCATGTCAGGTGTACGACCATTTCAACAACTTGTGTCGGGAGAATGCCATCAGTGTGGTCAGAGCTTTCAGGCAAGCTGAGCAGCAGTGTGCCAAGGCTCGAAGATTCGAATATTCTCTTAATCCTTATTCCTGCTGATTGCCTGTATTCATGAGATGGACCAACTAAGCTTATGGCATGATTGAGTCAGCCTGGGGCTTGTTAGAGCGCCCAGGTAGAATGAGTGATGGCTTCATAGTGGACCAGCAAAGACCTGCTCTTTGGCATATTGCGGGAGGAGAGCCGGAGTACCCACTCCTCTTAAGTGTCGGCATGACACTTGGAAACTTGAAAGTCCAAGGATTACACGCAGTTGTTCCTCTCGGCATGGTTTTCTCTTCGCATCGAAATGCTTGGCTCCATCCTCACATTGCTCGTGTCAGAGGCTCAGGGGCACCGCCACCAGCTGCACCTCTAGGAACACGGCCGGTCGTGTCACAGATTAGACAAGCTCACCTTCCAGCTTGGTCGAGAATGCCTCCTCGTGCGAAGGTCCGTGTTCATCGCACTGGGCCATCAGACGCTTCTGGCCTTCATCAACTCTGCTGTATCTTTCGGCAGGGTCTGTGAACCGTTTTACGAAGCATGCTCAGGTTTGGCACGGCGTAGCATTGCTTGTGCGTCAAGCACCAACAAATGTTTTCGGCAAGTTATTGAGTGGCACGCCTCGGCTTTTACAGCATGATGGGGCTTTCTCCAGCATTTTGGGCTTTTCACAGAGCAGGAAGAGGCTGCAAAGTGCCAATCTTGGGTAGGTATCTTCCTTCGAACACGTCACGGGTCACATCGTACTAGAGCACGACAAGCTTGAGCACAGCAGTCTGGAAAACACTGGAACCCATGTTGCTGATGGAAGGTTCCTTCGCTCTGGTTCAGATGTGTCGCAGAGTTTAAATTTATGCATGCAAAGAAAAGCTGCAACACATGCATCTGCTTGATTTACAGAGGAAGGCTGCAAAGAGCAAGTTCAGCCAGGGAAGACTGAAACCGGATCCATTGCTTTGATAAATGTTGGAGGGCCAGCTCCGACGACCCTCATACCTACAATCCCTCTGAACACACGAGCTTCGAGACATGCACGTAGCAACCCCACCTAGCCGTTTAGAGAGGTTTGCTCGGAGAGGCGATTTCGCCAACAGGGACCTACCTGCCATGTTTCGGACTTCGAGGACTCAGTGACTCTACGAGGACTCTACATGACTGCGTGCCCGGGCTTTTTGGGGGGAGTGTGTCACCCACCCAGGCTCGTGTCAGCTAGCACGGCGGCTCTGGTCTTGAACTTCGCCGGCGAGCTGCTTGGCTCGGATGGGAATCTCTAACCGGCCTAGGGCCTAGTGTTAGCATCTTCAGAAACGGACACCCCAGACTGGTGGATGACGGCTGTCAACTCAACCGCGGCAGAACTTGTGCATTCAAGTGTGATCTGCTGGCACAATGTATGACAGATGCTGTCTGGACAACAGAAGTTCAGATATCTTTCGACTTCGAAGTTGTGTATGCCGAGTCGAAGAGGCAGTATCCGCCACTGGTTTAGCATCTTTGTTTGCAGGGCTTGGGGCCAGCAGCAGAAACCGACGAGAAAGCAAATCTGTTCATCCGAGATCCGTAATTACGAAGATTTGCAACAGAATATAACACAGCCCAGGTGTGCCGGCAGCATTGAGCAGCTCATTGGGCAGGTTGCAGAATTCAGTCCGGGTCTTCAGCTTGCGTTCTGCCGGAGGGCCGGAGAGTGAGCTGTCGAAGAGCCGTGGCTCGTGGGTTTTTGTCACTGCCCAGGCATGGCCTTCAACTGCGTCGAGCGTGTGCGGCACTACGCTGAGGAGCTGTTGGTTCTGCCTTGTTGCATCGTACATGCTCGTGCTTTGCATGCAAGCTTGCATGTAGGCTTCTTCGGGAGTTTGTAACGGAATGCTCATCCTCTGCTTGGAGCTCTACGTGATATTGTACGACGCTGCATAGTAGGGCGTGAGAGTGAGAGCCTGCAGTGTTCTACGGTGGTCAGAAGCTCAATATGATTAGAACAGTCCCAGGGAGTAGTACAGTTTGGCGGGCTTTGATGCAGTACAGCCCCGTCCCGTGCAGGATACGACGATGATGTATGGTACGGTTAACAGAGACCCGTTGTCGTGGGATGTGGCTGGGGCCGGGTAAGCCGAATAGGCAGAGGCCACTACCAATTCTTTAGCCCTCCGTCTAAACAGAACCAGCAAGAAATGCATGCCGATCGTCACAGGAGAACTGAGGAAAGCGTAGAGTTCCAGCGAACGCCCCCCCTGCCAAAGGAGCTTCCGAGCGAGGCGGCCGTGGTGGCTGCCTCGCGGCCTCCTGCGGGATGGCCGGACCGAGGCGTATTGAAGGCGAGGCAGGGATTTGTTTCCATGTAAAGGGTCTAGCTTTTACGAGGAGACTGAAACGGTTTTGTAGGAACAAGAAGTTGGAGGTTTCATGATTATTTTCGGATAAGGGGAAGCGTCAAGACTCACACAAAGGTCTCAGAGCTTGAGGGCTCAGGTGGTTCTTTGCCTGTCTGTTGTTTGGCCTGTGCTACCTTCCAGCAGTCCAACTCCCTCGCAATGCAACAGCGGAATGATGCCATCCGGTTTGATATTGCCTGGACCTGTTCGCCTAATCTCCTCTGAGTTGTACCTTGCCTTCTGCCTCATCTGCTTGAGGTGAAGAACCTTCAGTTGCGCTTTCCGGCGAGTTACCAGTGGGGTCACGGTCGGCTCGGGGGAATGCCAGGTTGCGGATTCAGGGGAACGTTTGGGGTCAATGCAGCCTTCAGCACACTTGCGTGGGAAGGAGATGATAGCAGTGTACAAGGCAGCTTTACGAAGAGTTTGTTAGGTGCTATGACCGTGGGTGGCACTCCTTCCTTCTCTCGAGCGAAACTTCGTAAATTTCAGGTTACAAGCCGCACCTGCCTCTGGTCTTGAAGGGCCTCAGCTTCAGCATGAAGGAGGGCGAGCGCGTCGGCACCCGAGCTGCAAAGCGAGCAGTTCCTTTTTCTGTCAAGAGCCGGCTTGTTTGTTTCCGCCGCGAAGGATGCAGCCAGGTAAGCCCCAATTCGATGCCTACACCCCGACCCAAACCGTCCCAAATCTCACAACAAGCTTTACCCGTATAGTATAGTGAGATTCAAGGTTACTTGCTAATAGTGTAAAGGCAAGCATTGCAGGCGCGAGAAAATCTCCACCCAGACCCTACAGCAACATCTGAAGGCGTGGTAGGGCGGACTGGCGCGGGCAAGTCCTCGCTGCTTCTGGCTCTTCTTCGGATCGCAGAGCCGGAGCTCGAAGCCGTTCTGTGCTGTTTGGGGGACTTCGGGTGCCAGGGACGTCTTCCGACCTGTTCAGGCTTTGAATGAGGAGCTCATTCGTCTTTTGCTTGCCTCAGTCATGATAAGCTTTGAGGCATATCAATCGCTGCAAACCTCAAGCAACGGAAGGAAGCCTCTCCTCTCGATCCAACAGGAGCTGGGCTCTTCCATCGAACTGGATGGTCAGGAGTGTCCTCGCTTCAGGGTTCCCTGTCAGGAAGGAGCTTCTCGAGCCCCGGTGAGTAAGCAAGAACTTCTCGCAGGAGGTATTTTGCTTGCAGAGTCAGGGTGGCAAGGTCTCACGCTTGCGCTCCCCTTGAGACTGCTTGAAGGCCAAGCTTGAAGACACTTTTCCGCGCCAGGACATCTTGCAGATGGGCTTGCAGGACTTGAGGCGTGCGGTGGCGATGATACCACAGGAGCCAGTCCTCTTCCAGGACCGGCCCTGGCCGCCTACCCTCTTGGAACTCACCTTCGTTTGGGCTTGGGAGATGGTGAGTCCTCAGGACTTGCTGAGGGTTTTAGAGAGGCCTCGCAGCCCGTGCGACTTAAAACGTCTGCAATGTACAGGAGACTCTCCGCTACAACTGCGATCCCTTCGACCAGCACAGAGCAGAGGCAATGCCCCCTGGGGTTGTGTTTTGCGAGGCTCTTTCACTGCGCGCTTCGCAGTGACGATGTTACTCAACCCTCCTCGACCCGGCCTATTGTAAATTGAAACTTGTACGGATTGCACGGCTCACGGCTGGATTTTGTTCCGCCGCAACCTGGAGGACATCTGGGCTGCACTCGAAGAGGCCCAGTTGGCGCCGTGGGTTCGGCGACGTGGCGGCGAGGCCAGACTAGAATTAAAATTCAATTGCTGGTAGTCGCTGTAACATCCATAGTCTGGTCCATAGTAGTTGAGGAGAAGTCGCGTCAACATTGGTGGTGGCGATGATGTGGTAGTGGTGGTGCTGGCGGTCGTAGTGCTCGTCTAGATGAATCCAACAAACGGATGTAGGGTCAAAAGAGGACACGAGTGCATGGAGCAGTGAGAATTAGCAACAATGGCAAACCACCTTAGGACGGACAGGCAGACCAAGCCGGAGATGAGGTCGACAGTGGCTGCGAGGACCATCATCTGCTTTCTCACTTTCTCCCAACAATAGTCATCTGAGCAGAGCTGACCTCACTTCCAGGACAGATGCAGCAGTCTGCCACCGGCACAGCTGCAAAAGTTGCTGTCGCTCGAGATCAAGGAAAACGGCCGCCTGCCTGATTGGATTTCTTCGAGGCTTAGAGGTGTATGTCACGGACAATTCCATTTTTTCACTATTTCTTCGATCCATGAGTTGACAAAAAAGAGCTATTGCACGAAACTGGGTTCCGAACTGTTCTGCCGTGGTGAACGCCAGAGTCCGACATTCCTGTCAAGTACCCTCATAGGATTAGGGGACTTGGTAAGTAATTGTTATGAGTTCTTCGAGATTGTGCTTTGCGGAGTTCTCTCTACCTGCGAACCCTCACACGTTTAAGTAGACCAAGGGCAGAATCTATCGGCTGGTCAGCGGCAGATGGTGGCCATCGCGCGCGCCGTCTTGCGCAGCTCCAAGATGGTGGTGCTGGATGAAGCCACCGCGGGGTGGCAGCATTTAGTTTGGCCTATATAATTACGAGACTTGAGGGCAGTCATTGTTCCTTCGATGTGTAAGGGCCCTTATTGCTCCGCATCCTGCTTGTCAAATCTTGTCAAGGTGAGCACTAGGGAGGGGCTGAGTTGTCATCTTGGCCTCCAGACCTTCGCTTTTGAAATTTTGCGAATCGATGTCAGAATGTTAGTTGTTGTGGAAATTCGTTGCATACACTCTGCACAGTTAGGGAGGGTCCTGCAACAGCCGCCACTGCCGAGGCGGCGGTTGATGCTTCCACAGATGAAGCTCTCCAGTTCCAGGGCTACATCTCAGTATTTTTCTGTCCTTGGACATCCCTTTTCCCTGGCCTGAGGCACGAAGCCCTGAACTGAGTTCAGAACTTCGATCGTGCTGTACACTACAAGACCTTTCTTCCTTAGGGGCACGGTTGGACGAAAGCTATCTGCCAAGCTTGTCAGCTGCAGGAGCACACCTGCATGGAGCAAACGTCTGTTGATCTGCGAGTGACTTTTGGGAGTCTTTCTGTGATAGTGGGCCCAGGAAAGCCATCCGCCGGTGCTTCACGGGCGCCTCATCCCTCACCATCGCACACCGTCCCTGGGATTTGCAACATGTGAACCGGGCAAGGGGGAGAGCTTTGGAACCTTCGGTCGGTGTATTTGCTCAGCTTCCTCGTGCTTGAGGTTCAGGGCAGGGATGCGATGTTCCAAACTGCGGCTCATCAAGGAAACTTAGGAGGGCCAGCTGGCAGAACGTAAGTTTTCCAAGTCGTTGAAAGTGCAAGGTCTGCAGACCATCATCGACTGCGAGCGGATTCTGGTCCTTGCTGATGGTCAGATTGCAGAGTTTGACTCGCCGCAAGTGCTGCGGGATGCTTTACTGCATTGCACACGTCAGTCCCTTTCTGTCAAACTGCTCCAAGCATGGGATGAAGGTAGGTGGGGTACTCCCAAACAAGAGTCCGTACATAAGGAATCCCTTACCACCTAATCCGCTTCCGACTTTGGACCATCGATGAGGGCACATGCGGCAAACAACAGCAAGCATCACCGATCGTCATGACCAAGGCTCCAAAACTGGAGCTGCGCACATATGTATATGATGTGTATACATATATAGAAATCTATCGATCGATCTATCTATCTATATCTGACTATATCTATATCTATATCTATATCTATATCGGTATCTATATCTATATCTATAGTTATATCTATATCTATAGTTATATCTATAGTTATATCTATAGTTATATCTATATCTATATATATATATGTATATGTATAGAATCAAGTTCTATACAGGTATGTGCGTATGTATGTATGTATGTACGTAGGTAGGTAGGTAGGTAGGTAGGTAGGTATGTATGTATGTATGTATATATATATATGGTTGTGTGTGTGTCGTAGCCATGGTGGCCTGCAACTTAGCTCAGACCCTCAAGTTTGCGGAGAAATCCTGTGAAGCATCAGCAGGGTGATAAGCCTCGGCAGAGGGCTAGATCAGCCAGCAAGGTTGTGCTACCAAGCAGAGTATCAGCAATCTCGGGAGATTATGAGTAGCACCAGCATCTCCTGTAATTCGGGTCCTCTGTGTTGTAAGGAGAAGGAGCATGGAGTCTTCCGAAGCATGCTGGACGAAGTGGAGCACGCCTGAGCTGTGTGTCGGGTTCGGGGAGAGCCATGTACAGGAACAGGAACACAGAGGTTCCAAGCTACAGTCTCTGCTGATCCGTCGTCGAGGTTTGCAGAACGGGCGCCCAAGGTCCCGAATCGCAGGCCAAAGTTCGTCGCTGGTGGCTGACAGGGCCGCTGATGTAAATATGTTAATGCTAGGCACGTACTCTGCACGCGCCATGGCGGCCTCTGGCCTTCAGTCGAAGCAGCCTAGTGACGTCTTCCAAAGCGAGGTGTTTGAAAGGAGTCAAGTCGCATAGCGTCATCTCGGGAGCAGCCTCAGTTCTTGCCAGCAGGCCGAGAGAATGCCAGAGACCGTACCAGACGCCGCATCCAAAGACTGATGCGTCGAAGTTCCGGAAGTGCTTCCGATGTAACGGGGTGTCTAGCAGAGACATTTATGCTGTCTGCAACCGCGGCCTGTGTGGTCTGTTGCTCATCCCGGTCATTCCTTTATCCGGTCGCGTGGCCTCACTGTTTTCAGCTGACGGTCGGCGGCGCAGAATCAGGACAGGCCGAAACACGTCGGCTAGCAGTGTCCCGAGGGACGTGCGTGTTTTTCCCATAGCTTTCTGAGGTCTGGTGCAGGGTGCTGGTACAGACTGATAGTAGACGGTGACCCAGCCCGGAGAAAATGGAGGCATGCTTGCTTTGGGATATGGGTTTTTAAAGCTTGCTCTTGTCTCCAAAACACCTTGAAGTACTTTCATCCAGCAAGCCTCTTCAAAAAAAAGTCGCTATCCCTCCACCAACCTCAGGCTCTGACTTCTCCATTTCCCCGCCTTGCAGGATACTACCGCTCTCGTCCAGACGGCCGGCCCTAGCATGTTTTGTTGTCTCGAAGTTTCGATACGCAGCTAAACAACACGAACCATATTTCAAGAAAAGCTTAATTACTCAAGACCGATACCTGGTAGTGTACTTATTCAGGTTTACAGTAAATACACACTGCCTCAACCTCCCGTAACCGTGAATATGCTACCTCCGAGTAGAACCCATCAGTCATGCCTGCAACAATAGCACCGCGTGTGGGAGCACGATTAGTGCTATGCAGCTCCTACCTGTCACGAATGTTGAGGTAATTCAGACATTGCTGCTGCGGCGCTGAGACCGACACCGCCAGGGTTCTGCGACGTCTTCTGCACGCGAAATGAGACCTGCTCCAACTTCGGAGACTGCACAGAGCCGAGGGCCGAGCTATGACATGGTCCCCGCACACACACACAAAATTGAAAAAAATGTGATATGTGCACATTTTTACCTGCAGACATGCCTACACATAGAGCCTTGCGCCTCCTTACACTGCAGGGAGGTGTGTTGTCCCCACGCCTGGATTTATATCCAAGCACGCCGTTTTCGCTGTGTGTACTTTTGACTGTTTGGTGCACACATATAAATCGATGCCTATGATGCGAATGATTGCATCTACATGTCCGTAGAGACACAGGCCAGTTCAGGGGGCATATACCACTGCTGCCCGCAGATAGATGAGTTCCCAAAGATTGGTACGGTCAGGGATAGTCGGAAGCTTGCAAAGGTTTAGGAATCATCTTGAAGTTCTCACTACGTTTGCTTTGGCTTGCTAAGGCGCGGTGAGTGTCAGTGCGACTTGTGGTACTTCGGGGACAGCTGTGACTGCAGCTGCAACAGCTGCATCCTCAGCCCAGCAGCAGAGTCCGAAAGTTCTCGAAGGGCAGCGGATATCCGGCAGCCGAACTCTGTACCGAGGCAGGGGCATCTGCGTGGACGGAGCTTGCCGGTGTGATGCTCGATGGGATGGCGACTTTTGTGTCACGGGCTCATCTGACAGCTTGCCTTTGTTTCTGCATTAAGCTCTGGTGATACCTTTGCGATGAAGGCCTCTGTATGTGTGGAGGTAGCATCGTAGCATGCTGGCTTCTGAAATTGACGTGAGCCGCTCAGTCGCGGCAAACACCATATGAAAAAAAGTGCTTCAAACGTCAGGTTCCAAAGCAAAGAACTATTTCACAGTTCTCGGCTACAGGAGACGCCGGGCATCAACATCTCAGCTGCCTTGGACGAGTGCACGAACTGCAGCACTCGGGGAATTTGCGTCGAGGGTGGGGTCCACAGTCCCCAAGATCAAGACTTCAACCTCTGCTGCCAGGTGTCTGAGTTAGTTTCGAGTCCGCCGCGTGAAGTTCAGCCTCGCCGTGGAACCTGGAAGCCGGAGCACTATGTAAAGCATGCCCCCCTAGCCGAGTTTCAGAGCCCGAAGCTTCAAGTGGACTGAGAAATCGTTGGGCTCAGACGATGATGACGGATTTGTCTGCGAATGCCTCGCCACCTTCTACGGAGACAACTGTGTCGGGGGCCGTGGTTTGCGACATGTTGGTTTCAGAATTTCTGGAGCGGGTGTGAGCACATTGTTCGATAGATGTTGATGGCTGTTCCATGACGGAGAGTTGGGGGTGAAGGTGTTAGGGCGCGATGCAGACGGCTGTGTGCAATGGTGTAGTCCGATCTCACCGGGGAGAAGGCATGCAAACGGACCCTGGCACGACAAGCCGCAACGAAGCTCGAGCAGCAGTAAATCTGCGAAATCCATGCCAATACGGCCCTAGGAACGAACGTGCAGTGATTGCCTTGCGGACAACACAATGTCAGCTGCTCAGTTCGGTGTGTGCGGATCTGTGGCTACAAGGACTTGGACCTGACTCCGACAAGGGAAAAGCCTGCTTGAAGCACCCAACCGCAAGCCGCCCCGGCACGCATGCTCGCTTTCATCAGGTCTTGCAGTGAGGGCTTCTGCACTTGCAAGCAGGGGCAGCATCCTTACCACCGACATTGAAGTGCTTGTGGGATGCCTGACAGTACAAGTTCAGATCGAGGGACATGCTCCTCTCTCTCTCTCCTTTTTATCTGTTTGTTGCAGTCTTTGCTCTCCCTCTTCCTCTCCCTCTGTCCCTCTCTCTCTCTCTCTCTCTCTCTCTCTCTCTCTCTGCCTCTCTGTCTCTGTCTATGTCTCTCTCTCGCTTTCTTTGTCACGAATGCTACCAGGTTCTGGGGGCCACATTGTGAGAACACTTGCTCTTGCAGTTCCCTGGGCACAAGTTACTGCGCTGGACCCAGTTGAGGCTTTTTCCGAGTTCTCGCAAAAATAGTTGCAAGAGCAGTATCCTGGTCAGAAAGCGGGTAGACAAAGAGATGCCAGTGTGACAGTGGGCTGCAACGGACAAACAAGTCAATACGACGGTCCACGAACTTGAAGCACATGTGTGGCCAAGGTGATCCTTCGGACGGAACCTGCAGTAGTCCGACTTGTTTATGTGCATCATCGGAGTGGTCTGGATTTCTAATTCTGGCCCGTCTTGCCGACAGCAAGTGCGACGCTGCCCAAGGGCATTCTGCCAGGCTGCAACCGTGGGTGGCAGGGCACCACCTGCAGCGAGTGTGCACGGTGTCCGAGGGGGATGGACTCGAGCTTGAACGAACGGTCGACGGGACGATGACAATTATGCATATTTCCTCATGGCTGCCAAGGCACCGAAGTACTATCCCGCTGGCAGCTGCCACACCTTCTGCCCTTGGCCCAGATCCATTGCCGGGCCCGGAGTGTTCTGACGGTGCGCAGAATCTTATTCCCAGCGAAAGCACCTGTGTTGACAGGTGATGGTGCAACGACCTGCAATGGATTTGGCGTGCCATGCGCTCAGCAATGCTCGATAGACTCAGCATCTGAGCAGAAGCGTGCGACCCTGTTCGCTGCATTGTGTGAACTGGGAAACTGATACCGCGCCAAACCAAGTTGCATCCACGGCCGCAGTATAGCAAGTGGACCAAGGTGCGGCGACGCCGGAGAGTGTGTTTGTCCCGGTCCTCAGGCTTTATCTCCTTCGCCCTCCCTGAGCATGCCGCTACCCTCGCTAGCCTTCTAGTTTCTGCAAATGTTGGATCGCCGTCGTTTTCATTCTCAGTATCGTCACTTTCTAGATGATCGATATCGTCGTCATCATCATCATCATCAGCATCATCATCATCATCATCACCAGAATCAGCTTCAGCACCATCATCTTCTTCATCTTCTTCAGGTAGGAGGGTACAGCCCCAAACTTCCCGAAATCCTAGGGAGTGACTCGGCCAGAGTGTGAAGAGCTCAAGGCATTGGAGCACGTTCCGTGGAGTCCTCCTGCAGTCAGTGCCTGCCTCACTACTATCCCGCCGAGGCGACAAGTGCAGCGGATTTTGTTAATGTGTGGGGGCGGTAGCATTGTTAGGCCGTCCATTTCGTCTTGCCGTGCTAGGCAGTACAAGCCTGCGAATCGGTTGGCCAGGACGCCCGGATCATCCTCGGCTACCCGGATCCGCCGGCACGGTTCGCACAGGATCGAGAAGCTAAGCTCGGAGAGGGAGACGAAAAGTGAGTCTTGATGGCTGAAGCTGCAAATTCTGGCCAGCCACATGCTGGAAGCGAGGTTTCATGCATTGCTTCAAGTCACGACAGCCAGCCTAGCGAGGCTTTCGTTTCTATCTGCGTAAGGTGTGGGCCGGGACCGCCGGCCCTGACGCAAAGGAACTGATATCGATCAAAACAGGCTCTACCCCCTCCTCCTGCCCCTCCCGTCCTCACTATGCTGCTGAGTTGTTGATGTGGTTGGATGCGCCGGAGGTGATGATGCCCTCTCTGTTTCCCCCGCGTTGCTGATGCGGTTCTGGTCGCATGTGAGGATGCCTGGAGCCCGCCTCGCCAGCTTTGTTTCCCCTCCGTTGCTTATTGCCCGGCTCGTCAGCTCTGTTTGCCTCCTGTTGCTGATGTGCTTGGATGTGATGATGCTTATTGCCCGCTTCGCCAGCTCTGTTTCGCTTGCCGTCCCTCCAGCCGAGGCTAGCTTGCGTTCCCCTGGCCCCGCCCCTCAAGTTCATGCGCTGTCGTGCTATGTCGTATTGTCATCCTAGTGTGATGGTGCTGGAGACCTACGGCCCTCGGCTCAATGTTGTTCGGGGCTGTTGAAGTGGGTGCAGGGTGCTGTTTGGGCTTCGTGGGCAGGAGTGGCAGATTGTGGAGATCGATTGTCCGAGCGCGATGCCTCGGCAGTGTTTTTCATGAGTGCATAGGCATTCTGAGATACTGCCGAAAGACACGAGCAGAGTCATCTGAAGAAAGTCTTCAAACCTGGCAAGCACGAAGACTTATAGTCCAGCTTGAGACAGTCGTCTAGATCGGTCATTCTCACGGCCGCGTGGCTTGTTGGGCTAAGGCGAAGATGACGAAAACACGTCGGAAGAGAATGACTCAAACGACACCATGTCGAACGACACCATGTCGCCGATTGGCATGCTAAATGACTCCGACGACAGCGTCAATGCCGCCAACATGTCCAATGTGACGCCCTGAGCGACGCAGGAGCAGGGCAGAAACTCTCCCTAGTCTTCAGTATGTAGGGCTCTCTTTTGGCTCGGGTTTGGCTTGGGCTGGCTTGCAGTCCCTCGCAGGGTTTTTCCCCCCGGCAACTCGCATTCATGTAGGTGTGTTTTGCTTGGAAACCGAGGTGCCCTTGGAAGACCTGTCAGGACCGGTTTTACGGTTTCGGCTTCTGCACCTGAAGAGCATCTCGTCTCTCCCGAACCAGGCTTGTTCCTCGAGCATCACAGAATCCGCCTGAAGGAGAGGACAAGCGCTGCTTCGCCAACGTCTCCGTCAATGTCTCCTTGAACGTCACAGGCAGGAGCCGAGAGAGTTGCCTTCCTCCGTTTGCGCGAACTTCGCTGGCCCAGGCGATGTTGAGCCTTTTGTGTCCGGGACTTGGCAGCGAGAGCGATGTCAGTAGGTTTCACAGATTGCCCAATCCAGAGCATCTCAGGATGGTCATTGAAGCGTGCTCTCGAGAAACCGCCGCGATTGCCCAGAGTCTTTATCCTCGTTTTTGTCTGAAATAGGTCTTTTCACATCCCCAAACCTTGCTAGGCTTACAAACTCTACTTGCTTGTTTTGCACTCCTACCGCAAGGAGAGCCGTTCCCAAAGACATGCTCTGCAACTACTTTCATTCGTGTTTGCTTGTGCTGCTTGCAGGTATCTTCCATCGCATTAAAGTTGGATAGGCTTAGCAAGCTTGCCGCAAAGCCGCAGAGCACTGGTGCCAGGCTTCTGCAATCCAGCCACGACCTGCTCCGGCTTCGGAGTCTGCGACCCCATCAGTCAGTATCTCAGAATTGGGGCCCCATTGACGGTTTTGGGTTGAGAGTTTCGCTCCATGACCACAACCGTTGTTTGAGCAGCTTGAGGCTCTTCCTGTTGGTGTGTTTAGGGCAAAGGCATCGAATTGCAGAATCTCGCATGGTCGCATCTCACTTCTTAGGTCCGAGAACCTTCACTTATTCTGGTTACTGTATTTGGAGAACCCGCATGAGCTTGTGAAAATGCACGAAGCCCTTTCGTCCCTGGCGTCCCTTAGGTGCCGAGTGTCAATGCGACAGCGAGCATTTCAGCTCCGACTGCAGTGGCGTCTGTGCTTCTCTTGGTTTTTGAATTTGAGGGCACGGAGGCCTGTCTCAGGTGTGGCTACAGCGGGGGCAACAGCTGCGCTCTACTGTGGCGGGGACATTCAAGCACATGGTACTTGTAGCTGGGGATGATGGCGATGATGGTGATGATGATGATGATGATGCTGCTGCTGCTGCTGCTGCTGCTCATTTCGGCAATATGCTCAGGTGCAGACTACTGCGAGACGCCCGGTGTGGGCCCCGTTGGCAAATTGGGAGCTAGGTTTCAGGGCCCAAACCTAGATGCAGCAAAACGATGCATGTGTCGGTGTTGAGACTGCCATGATGCCTGAGCGATTGCAACCGCAACGTAAATCAGTGTCCGTAATGCACAAGGATAGACTAAGTCGTCTCGTTCCAGCCTGACACCAACTGTTCCATCGTCATCACTGCATCCCCGTCCTTCAAGGGGATTTTGTTGAAATCTAAAGCAATCGCTTGCATCAACGACAATCCAACTTCGGTTTCAGGGCGGAAGCAGCGGCTCAGCAGCTCAAAGGCACCATCAAAAACACAGAATCTGAGAGCCCCAAGGCCAAGGCCGAAACGGTACACCTCAAAATATCTGTACCTGAGATCTGATTCCGATGTGCCGACGCCTCGAACCTCGACGTTACAAGCTCTACACTGGAGGGTCCCAAATTCCTACCGTTGGCCAAGGCACCGAGAAGTGTGCGCTGGAGACTCCCGAAGCTTCTACGCCAACGTGCACATGCAAGCACCGATCTCGGATACTGTACCGCTGTTCAGGTGAAGACACCGGGGGCTTTTGTGGTTTTGGGGGTTCAGGGCTTTGCATTGAGCTTCCTGAACTGGTGATGTCGAATCTCGGTCATCGCCGGCTTTCAAAGTGAAGGCATGAGATGTCATGTGATGCTTGATCATTTCCAAGACATATTTATTTCACTGGGGGGATAATCTTGCGAAAGTTGTTTTCACCATGAGCCGGCGCCAGTTCAGGGCATGGGGTCGAAAGGTGGTCGCGTGCTCTTGCCTCACGGCATGATGAAGCATGCCTGCCTCGAGTTTGAAAGCAGGTCTGGGTACTGGGACTCCGACTGTCGACAGCCCAGAGTTGCAAGGCGGAGAGGTGAACTCACATTCGCGATGTGCTCATGACCTCGGTTTAGGAGCTCAAAAGTCTGCAGGAGCGTGCCGCCATGCTTTGCGATGCCTTCGCTACTCTGATTCCATGTCTTCAAGCAGAGCAGAGCCTGCACCTCTACTTAGAGCCCTGAGCTTCCTCCCCAGCCCAAGGTCGCTGGAGCTGCACTTGCTTCGAAGCTGGAACGGTGCCTCCGGCTGACATGCTTTCTGCTCTAAACACGGGTCGTCCAAGTTTTGATCTCGCTGCAAAGCTTTGCTTTCGTTTGGCCTGAACTATATCTCCAAGTCTGAACGCCCAAGCTTGGCCTCAAAGCTTGCAAGACCCAACACCTCTGCTTGAAGCCTGATAAACTTGCATATCCTAACCAGCTGCCAGCTTCGATGCATCGATGGGTCCACGGGCGACGGCAGCTGCGTTTGCAAGTGGGGGGCCTTAGCGATTTTGGCCGTAAAGGCCTTCTGCGTCAGGAAGGCCTCAGCAAATATCGGCTCCGAAGCTTTTTCGCCGTCTTCAGGGCTTGAGGGCTAGAAGACTTGTGGATCCGAGGCCCGAGGATGCGAGGCTTTCTCAAGTTTTTCTTCCCGATCTTGACCGTTCAGCATGTTCTTGCCAGCTTAGAACGCTCAACGCCAACCTGCTTAGCTCCCTGAGCCGGAAGTTTGAACAGCCAACCTGCTTGAGTCCTGGCTTCATCGGCTTCGCTTGCGACAGCTGCGCCGCTTACATGCCTGCGCCTCAGGTCTAGAATAATCAGCTGCACGCGCATGCGCACCCAACATGGCAAAACCTTGTAGCAGAGTGCTGTCTCCTTTGATACAACGACGGTTTCATTGGAGACCACACACCACTTGGTTGTCCGAGACCGCCATCGTGTCAAACTAAAGAGCAGCCAACAGCAACATGCACCAGTGTGACCTGTAGCCGCTTGCCAGGTATCCACCCGGAGAGTGCTTCCGGCGGTGCGAGGAGAACGTGGACTGCTTCGAAGGGTCCTGCGTCGGGCTGGCGCTGGATTGTTGTGGTGCGCTTTCGGGTCCCTTGCTGCTCGCCTTGTGCTTGTGCTGCTGCTTGTGCTGCTGCATGCATGCCTGGAGCATGTTGGGACGGCACTGAGCTGCAGCCAAATTTTCATCCTACGCTGCATGTTGTTGTGTCCACGCAACTCGCAAGCCTTCAAGTAAGAAGAACCGTTGATCCACTGTACGGGGTTTGACCGCCAGACGCCTTTCACGGGCATCTGTGCTTGCGAGCCTGGAGCTCAGACCTGTGCTGGAAGGTCGGATTCGTGGCTCAGCCGAGGGTCGCTTCGGGTCTGGGGGCTTGGGTCGTAGGGGTGGGAGCTGCAGGTCTGGCTGCACTTCGAGAGCTTGAAGATGCGGCATGTTGGTTGTTGAACGGTTGTTAGTGTACATCTGTTGACCTCGAGAGAACGATTGCACCAGACAGACAGGATAGAGATCCGCTGCCAGTCTCGACTCTGACCGTGGAAGACGAGCAGACAAGGCGTACGTTAGCAGGACAGGGAGTTTCAGACTGGGAACATTGTGTTCTGAACTGCTAAGGGCAGGTTGGGAAGGATCAAACTGTGGCTGCTCCGTGGACATGAGTTTGGCTCTCAGCCAATCCTGGATGCATTGGGCTTGCAGTTTGCCGCGGATGCGCAGAGCTGGAGTGGCGCTCACGACAGAGCTGCAGAATCATTGTTTCTCGAAGTTGCAGTGCCCGGCATTTCTCGTGTCGCTTGATGGGCTTCGCCTCTAGGACCTATAGGAAGAGAAGCTGTACTCACGTTCTCGCAAACGGTTGTTGTCCGTCTGCTTCCACCGTGCAGGTGTCTTCTCCCCCAGTGCCCAGCGAACATCTGGCTCAGGTCCCACGGACAGCTGCGGCGGGAAAGGCTTCTGCGCGGACGATGGCAGTTGCCTCTGCGACATCAGGCTTGCCTGATGTGCGCACTACCAAACATTTGGAGCAGTGTGGGCAAGTCGCACGTACAAGTTCCAATGCTGTGCAAACAAGAGAACTCGGTTTGCAACCTGGGTGCGGGTGGATGCCGAAACCAGTCCGTGCTACCGTTCTCCAGGAACACCGGAGCCGAATGTGCTGATAGCACCGCTTACGAGCTCGCAGAACTTCAGTGCCCCGTGGCCTCATTAGGTATTAACGTGCAGAGCTTTTTCGGCGTTTGAGTTGAGTTGTGATCAAGTTGATGCTGTCAGCTTCTCCCCTTCCTGCCCTTGGTGACAACAGCGGCACGTTTTGCAATTTCGTTTTCGCCTCGAGTTACCAAGTAACACGAGCAGAGCGAGTCTAGTGGCGACAGCAGCATCAGCAGCATCCAGTGCACATCAACAGTCATCGCCGTAACGACGTGACGACGGCACGTACAAGGCAACGCGGAACAAAATTCTAAATCTAAATTGAGCTTGGCGCCACGAGATTCAGCAGACTCCTTTTGCCTGGTCGCGCTCTCAATCTATGTCTCTCTCTCTGGTCTTGTTTCTCACTCTCGCTACGGACTGCGAATTTGGTGATGAGCCGAGTTGTTACATCAAGCAGCACAGACCATTTGAAGATGACGGTGATGGCGCTGCCTTCAACCTCCTCTCGTATCCCAGGCCCCTACTGCAGCAACACAGGCATCTGTGTGGAGGACCGGGGCAACCGTGACAGAGTGCTGGGAGGGTTTCAGGGCTGAACGTGAAGCCCTAAGTATCCGACAGGAAAACGGTGGCTTCGTGGCGGCCTGAGTGATATTGTGGCATGACACCGTTGCTGAATATTGGAATTGTTCGACCCAAAGATTCCGAGTGCTGAGCACTGTGCAAAGGCATGCAGCTGTGCGAAGAAGTTGGGCTACTACGGGGACAACTGTGAGGCGGCCCTCAGAGCGAAGCATCGGTTGGGATGGGAGCTCCTGGAGCTCAAGCTGCTTGCGGTTTCTACAAGTAGCGGAATAGCCCGAATCTAAGTTTGTGTGGGTTATTGTTGCGCGGAGTGGTCCCATTGCGTTTGAGGTTGTTGGCGACAAACTTCATACAAGTTGTGCTGCGCTGGTTGGGATTGTCGTTGCACCTGCTGAACGCGGACAAGTAGGAACCGCAATGGAATGAACCGGCATACAGCAAACAAAGACGATTCTGCAGAACTCCATGAGCGACGCAAATTACTAGCACACTGCTGTCGAAAAGTTGAGTCGCGGGCATGCAAGCACGTTGAAGGTTGACAGTCCTCAAATGCAGCGGTCCTACACTGCAGGTGTACTGCACTACCTGCAACGCGGACAACACAAGGACATGCTATAGACATGCTGGGTTGTGGATGTCTTCCATTTCGTGTTGTAGTAGCTGCAATCTCGGATGCGCCGTGGGAGTTGCCTGCGTCGTGCCAGGACTTGCGCCATTACCGGTGGTGTGGAGCAGTGCTTCTGCGGCTTGACTGCTGAGTTCTGCTATGTCGCGCTCTGCAGTATGAGGGGGTGAAGGTCGTTCTGAGCAACGTGTCTAAGTACTCTCACAGTGAGACCGCTGCTGCTGTTTTCGTTATTGCCCGTATCGTGACGGACTCCATCATCTCGACCCTGGTTTGCAGTAGCCTTCTCAGCAACAGTAGTAGCAGAAAAAACCATCGTTAGCCTTCACTCATGTTCATTGCCATCGCCGCGACTGCCATTGCGCATCATCATCACCGTCATCGGCAAAGATGCTCTTGCATTCCCTTGTTGCAAGGTGAGGAATGGTGGTGGGGCCCTGACGCTCAGCTAGCGTACTTTTCCGCAGATGATGGCGCAGCAGGGCTTTGTGCGCTGGCCTTCCGGAGGTCAAGCACGTCTTCCCCGATCGTCTGCCTTTTTTTCTCGGGAGCAATAGCTTTAGGTCTGAAGCTATGAGCGTCCGATCGAACAGGCCTTGAGTCTTGAGCCGCCACTCAATCTTCCAGGTCTGAGCTCTTCCTCGTGCCACTGAGGTCCCGACTGCAGCCTGCCGTGTGCCTGCATCCGGGCCGGAACAGAGCGCGGGGCTGAAGGTAAAGCTTGGCGAGGGCACAAGGGCTCGAAGCAACGGCCGAAGCACCTGTGTTGCCGTGGAACTGGATTGTTGATGCTGCTAACATGATCAGCACCTATGCTAGTATTGATCACTCTGATTCTGTGCCCTGCCGTGGCATTCAGCACATGATCTCCTTGTTGCTATCGTGCTTGGGTTGGCGAGTGCACGGTTCGAAGCTTCTAGAGTTGACTTTCAAGAGTTGGCGTGTTGCGGGGCGCAACGCCCTTGATGTAGCTTGTGGAGCTTGGTGTCTTGCGGCTTCGGATAGCTGCGATTTAGTGCTGACGGTGTGGCTTGTCCTTTGCCGATGAAGCTCCTGCACTGACAGGCAGTGCCTCATGCAAACTGGGCAGTGTGTTGCCGACATGTTTGGGACTTGTTCTTGGTCGTGCTGTTTCCATTTATGGTTCCTCTTTTTCGCATGGTCTTCTCGCGATCCATGATCGTCACGGTCACCTCGTATTTAGGTGGGCAGGAGACCTGCAGCTGCAGTCTTGTCGCAACTGTGCAGGTGCCTGCAAAACAGGATGGGCTGGCCTGTTCTGCGAGCAGTGTTCTCCAGGCGATGAGCACCGTGCTATTCATCTCTGATTACAGCCTTCGTCGATAGACCCAACTCGCAAGATTGTGGCTCTTCAAACTCTGAGAACCTTCGTCGAGGCTATTACCCGGAAGGGAGCTGCGACGTGCAGTGCGACGTGCTTGCCCCGGCAGTCCAAGTCCTGCCAAGGTCGGCGTTTCATTAACAACCACCCTGCTGCAGAAGTCTAGATGACGAACCCGTCTTAACAAGCAGCCAAGATGTCTTCAGGATAGCTGGGACCACAAAGATCTGGGTTTAGGGCCCTGCATCTGCGCTTACCTTGAGCTCGTTGGTAAAGACTCCAGCTCGCATCAGAGCCACCTTGAAGCCACAGAAAGCACAGTGAGACCAGCGTATTCAGCGAGGCTGGTTTCAGCTGCAATCTGAACGGCTACTGTGGGCTCGGTGCTTGGAGTGCGGTGCATCCTAAGGTGCTAGACTCCAAAACCCTCGAAACGCGGCTCCTTTCAGAAGCAATTGCCTGGCCGAGGCCTCTTGGCACTTGCGTCTGCAACGACCTTTGGGAGGGTCGCCCTCACAGCATTTACTGAAGCTGGGGACTCTCGTGCCTCAAGGCTTCTGCTTCTGCAGCCGCTGTTAGGTGAAGGCTGCACCTACTGCACCTTTGACGGCCGACCACTAGCTCTTTGGCCGCACACGCTACGACCACCACCTTCCTTGAAATCTTCCGCTGTCTCGTCCCAGGCTCACGATAATTCCACGGACCTGCCGTCCTGCTCCACCCGCTGTGCGGTGGAGGGCTCGGCTGGGCCTGCAGTCTCCGAGAGCGAAGGTCTGATTCCGGGCTCGCTGGACAGTCAGAACTCTGTTGCAGACGAGGTCTAGCTTTCTTGGCATGTCTGGGGTGGCGGGTGGGGTCTACTCACAGCCTGATCAGCGACACCGCATTCCTGCGCAGGCGCTTGAAGGAACGTTCTGTTGGGACATGTCTCTGAATCCCAACTCCTCGAGCCTACACCCGAACCAGTCGGGATCTTGACTTGACAGCGGCTCAGCCCACTTCCTCCAGCAGCATCTGCACCCAAAGGTTCCCAAGCCTAAGCTCGCCTAAGCTCTAAGTTGCGGCAAAGGATGCAACGATTTGCAGCGGCCATGGAGCCTGCACCGACGCAAGAAGCCCAGTCGCGCATGCAGGGTACAATGCTGGTGTTTCCCTCTTGTCGAGCCCTTCGGATGAGACGTCCTGCGTCGCGAGCCTCGCGCAGCAGAAAAGCTTGCCACTCTCACGATCCACGAAGCACAGGTCGGGCTGTGCGACTGCGATCCTGGATGGTATGGTGGGCAGTGGCCTTGTCCAAGCATTGTCGAAGGGGAGGCTTCAAGGAGTTGCATCCGGTGTTTATGCCAGGGGACCATCCACTGTGACGAATGCCTAAAGCAATGACTCTTCGTAGAGGCATGTGCCTGGAGCTCTTGTAAGCGTGATCCTTTGGATAAGACATTGCAATCGGGGACGTTTTTCGGCACCAAGCAGGCCCTCGGCCCAAAAGTGAGGAGTCTTTTCAAGAGCGGTGTTCGCGGATGTAGGACCCTTCCTGGTCTCGCAGAATTAGGCCCTCGACTCTGAGACTCTGTGATCGAAACCGTCGAAGCCTTCCCCCTGAGCCCAAGGCGCCCGAACCAAAACCCTGACCTTAAACGCATATCTCCTCTGAGGCCTGTTGCTTGCTGGGACAGAGGCAGGTTCGGTTTCACATGTCCGTCACAGGCTGAAAGGCTGAACAGAAAGAAGCAGACTTCGAGAAGGACGGAAGGCAATGAAAACAAGAGTTAAAACACATTAAATCCGGAGTTAATTGTCCGTCAAGGACAGGGTCCGAACCCCAGGACCCGAAAAACATTAAATCTAGAGTTAATTCTTGCAGGTGTATGCTTGGTTAAGCAAAGCAATTAA